CAAGGTTTGATAAGGAAAATAACCACATGGGATTTTTAACTAACTGTGAAACATAGGGTGTAGCTAAAGTTCACCAAAATTTGGTTCCCAAGTTAGAAATCTCTAGGACAGGGCTGTCAAACTCCTGGGCCATGGCTGTGGAATGGATGTGTTATGCCCACGCCCCATTTAGCGAGTGGGGGGAAAGTCCTGATACTTCACGTGATGCTGCCGTGATGTGCGTTTGACACCCCTGCTCTAGAATGATTGTAATTATAGCAGTAATGAACTACATAGGAAAGCATGTATTCTGCCTGAGTAGGACTTCTTTGTCACTAAGTTGACAGGTGATTGTACAAAGCAAATTACTGAGGAGGCTACATGGCTATATAATGTAGATGAAATTTTATGTATAGAAATATTACTATTTATAAATTTCATTGAAGAGTTAATTTTATGCTAGACTTTTATAACTTCCAGGAAGATCAAATGTGTAAAATAGGCTGAATATAAAGCCTTTTTAGTCTCCGAGGTGGGGCGTGGGAGTCACAGCTGGGTATTGTCATGGCCCATCTGCCCAGAGACAGGTAAATCTTGAGGCCACTCCCTCTACTCCTCCTCTGACTCTCCAGATTAACCTCAGTCTTCGGCCCAGAAGGAGCTAAATTAGCTGGTACGAGATTTTACCTTTGAATTTCTCAGCTTAGCTTGCTTCGTCTAAGTTTACCTCCTCTCGTGCGCTCTGTAATCAGCCTGTGCACAGAAGCGGTCAGCGCTACTGAGAGGCTCCCGAGCCATGGTCCGGTGGCACGGGGGGGAGCCCCAGGCCCCGCACACAACCGCGGCTGCAAGCGATCCCGGGCTCACCGCAGAGATCGCAGGACCCAGGAATGAGGAGAGCGACTCAGTCAGAGTCGGCTCACGTGTTTGGACCGTGTGGTGACGGGAGACATTTCCAACTGCCTGAAGGTGGAGGACAGAAAGGTGGAGTTGGTTATGCGCAGGACGTTCCAGGCGGTATCGTGGGCAATCACGGCTGCCATAGCAGCCTCTTTTTTCAACAGGACCACCCTGTTATGGCTGGGACAACTCCCAAGACAGAACTCCGGCGTTGGACGTTAGACTCCTGCAGGACATTACGAAGGTGATGGTGGCCACCCAGTTCTCGGTGGACGCCACTCTGGATGCGGTAAGGTACTCTTCCAGGGCCCTATTCTCTTCAGTGGCATCCAGACACTTGCTGTGGCTACGCAACTGGCAGGCAGAGTTCCGGGCAAAATGGCATTTGGCAGGCACAGAATACACGGGGAGAAAGCTGTTCAGTCCATCTCTGGACCCCATCCTCGTTGAGGACAAGAAAAAGCGAAAGGTCTCCCCATCTACATCCAAGCGATCTGATCGCTCGGCACCCTACCCCAGAAGATCCAATTATCGAGCACCTGAACAGGACTTCCAACAGCCAAGGTAATCTGCTCCCAGATTCTCCAGGCAGGGGGATAGACAGTTCTTTAGGGACAGATACAGGTTTCAACAGCCTAGCAAGCGTCCCTTTTGAGTGGCGGGCAGCCGCCCCTTCCGCAGAAACAAGTGATTCAGGATTGAATCACCCCATCGGTGGCCGCCTTACTTTGTTCGCGGATCATTGGGATTGCATCACCACGGATGCATGGGTGCTACGGACAGTCAGGTTTGGTTACGCTTGGAATTTTGCTCCCAACCCCCAAATAGATTCCTCCTCCAAGAACTGGCTGGAGCTCAGAGTGATCCACCTGGCTCTCTGGCGCTTCAAGGCGACGGTATCAGGAAAGCACGTTCTGGTGCTGACGGACAATGTGGTGGCCAAGGTGCACGTGAACAAGCAAGGGGGCACCCACTCCATGGCACTTCATGACGAGGCGGTGAGATTGGGGAACTGGGCAGAACGGAATCTATCAATCCAAGCAGAACATATCTCTGGGGAGGAGAATCATCAGGCGGACTGGCTAAGCAGGGAGACAGTAGACCACGGAGAGTGGCAACTTCACCCCAGCATCTTTGACTGGATCTGCCAGAGATTCGGCTGGCCGGCAGTGGATCTCTTTGCCTCCCCATCGAACACCGAGCTTCCGAGGTTCATGTCATGGTTCCCGATACAGGGAGCAATGGACAATGACTCCCTGTGCTTCAGTTGGCCATCAGGACTTCTCTACTCCTTTCCTCCCCTTTCTTTCCTGGAAGCTAGTACTAGAGAAGGCAGAGGTAATCCTGGTGGCTCCCTATTGGCCCCGACGTCCCTGGTTCGCAGATCTGATAGAAATGTCAACCTCTCCTTATTGGAAGATGCCTCGGGGGGAGGTGTCCCTTCTCCAGGGGAGCATGGTCCACCCAGACCCAGACTGGCTCCAACTGACCTTCTGGCGATTGAGCAGGAACAATTAAGGGAGGCTCAGATTTTTACCAAGGTCATCGGGACCATCGAGGCTTCCAGGAGGAGATCCACCACTCGTATCTACAATGCGACCTGGGTCTCCTTTGCGTCCTGGTGCCAGTCTGCTCAGGTAGAACTGGGATCGGCTACAGTCCCGCAGATACTGGATTTCCTCCAGAATGGACTGGAGGAAAGTCTGGCCCCTAGCACCCTCAGAAGGCAGGTCTCAGCCCTGGCCACCATCCTGGGGAGAGTGGGTACACAATCTTTTCCCAACTTCCCATCATTAAGCGATTCCTCAGAGGAGCAACCAACCTCCGGCCCCCAGTAATCCAGTTTTCCCTCTTGGGACCTACCCACAGTGCTTCAGGCACTCCTAGAAGCACCATTCGAGCCTCTGAGGGAGTTGAGTCTTCAGCTTCTTACCCTCAAGGTGGTATTCCTCGTAGCCATCACCTCTGCCAGGAGGGTGTCAGAGATCAACGCGCTGTCCTTTAGGGCGGATCTCTGCATATTCCACAGCAACAGGGTTGTACTCAGGCTCGACCCAGCCTTCATGCCCAAGATTAATTCCCCCTTTCACAGGGCTCAGGAGATTGTTCTCCCAGACTTTTGTCCATCTCCCTCCAGAAGAAGGAAGAGATCCTGGCATCGCCTTGAGGAGGGTGCTGCGCATCTATCTGAAGTGCATGTCGGCCATTAGGTGGTCAGAGGCCCTCTTCATTTCCTTTCACCCTGCAACCAGAGGAGCGAAGGTCTCCCCAGCCACCATAAGTAGATGGATCAGAATGGCAATCTCCAAGGCCTACAAGGCGTGAGGTGCTTGAGGGCATCACCGCATACTCCACCAGGAGTGCAGCCACCTTGGCGGCCTGGGCCACCCAGGCCCCCATCGAGAACATATGTAGGGCGGCAGCATGGGCTTCGCCCTCTCCATTCATCAGACACTATCGGTTGGATGCTTTCACGGAAGCATCCTTTGGGAGGAGAGTTCTCCAGAGAGTGCTAGACACTCGGGGAGACTCAAGCCCCATGGCCCCTCCCAGGGACACCTAGCTTTGGTATGTCCCAGCTGTGACTCCTCCCACGCCCCACTTCGGAGACTTGTCAGTTGGTCTTACCTGAACTGCATGTCTTGAAGGATGGCGTGGGAGCAGTCACTTCCCACCCATAGTGTGCCCCGCGGAGGATGGGCCTGAGTTCAGATAGTTACTGGTCAGTCAGGGATCGGGGGGGGGGGAATGGGGGGTTTGCTCTGTTCCCTTCCTTCTAGATTCGCCTTGACTGGACTATCGATTAATCTGGAGAGTCAGAGGAGGAGTAGAGGTAGTGGCCTCAAGATTTATCTCAGTCTCCGGGCAGATGGGCTGTGACAATACCCAGCTGTGACTGCTCCCACGCCATCCTTCAAGACATGCAGTTAAGGTAAGCCCAACTGACAAGTCTCCGAAGTGGGGCGTGGGAGGAGTCACAGCTGGGACATGCCAAAGCTAGGTGTCCCTGGGAGGGGCTATGGGACCTAAGTCCCCCCGAGTGTCTAGCACTCTCTGGAGAACTCTCCTCCCAAAGGATGCTTCCGCGGAGGCGAAAGCATCCAACCGATAGTGTCTGATGAATGGAGAGGGCGAAGCCCATGCTGCCGCCCTACATATGTCCTCGATGGGGGCCTGGGTGGCCCAGGACGCCAAGGTGGCTGCACTCCTGGTGGAGTATGCAGTGATGCCTTCGGGCACCGGGAGGCCTCGCGCCTTATAGGCCTTGGAGATGGCCAGTCTGATCCATCTACTGATGGTGGCTGGGGACACCTTCGCTCCCCTGATTGCAGGGTGGAAGGAAATGAAGA